AGAACACAACTGCAAACAAAATATGGATGAGATTATTGCTAAATCCCGTACATGATTCATTTTTAAGTTCAATTCAAGGAACTTACTGCAGCTGAGCATTCCTTCAGCTTGTATCCAGCTGATTAAGCTTACCAGTTTCCATTCTCAGAGGTATAATCATGCGGTCTAAGTATTAATAAATAATGCTGTTCTGTACAGTATACTGATACAATTCTTCTCTCACCTTAAATTCAGCTGAACCCTGCTTAATGCAAGTCATCAATACAGTCTAATCATATGTACTATCAAATCCAAAAGGAGATTTATCACCTTCACAGAATACAGTGATATTGACCAAAACAATGAGTCACAGCTCAGCAAACTTAACAAGGTGTGCATTCAAGTCATTTTTTTGCACACCAGCATTTAATCAGGTACTTGAAACATTCAATACAGCTTCCACTTCTGTCACTGGCTTGTCATACAACATCCTACAGGCTGATGGTAAACCAGGAACCTACAAGCATATGTATGAGTTCTGCTAATTAAAGAATTGATTTATTGTGTGCAGTTTTAAATTAGTTGCTATTGTGAATTTAATGTTCAGATAAAATATTCTGCCCACGACGCTAGCCTAGCTTCTAAGTTGTAATTCATTTTCTTTTGAGTTTCATCACACAAACTACAGGCTAATAGTTAACCCTATACTTTTAAAGGGAACAAAATCTTAAATAAAAACAGAGGAGATTAAGCAATTCAATAATTTGATTTCTCTGCCAAATTTATCCATGTCCGACCGGCTTTAGTGGAATGTTTCCTAGGTTTTTGTTTTAGTTTATCTCTTGCCTATCAATTACTACTTTGAAAGAGAGATTCTAATGGCTTAAAACAGCAGAAAATGCATCTCCAGCTGCCTTAAAATAAAGCAAGATCCTGGGAAAGTCCAACCCCACACTCCCCTTGCCATCACCATCTGTCCTTTTTGGATTAATGGCATTAATGGTATTAACTACTAATACTAGACTGGTAGCTACAGAAGCTTTACCTATACCAATGACAAAGGGTCATAATTACAGTTACACCAAGATACCCCCAGTTCTATCTTAGTATTTACATTATTTTACAATAGGCTACCATGGTTCAATCATTGTACTTGTGCTAGTAGAGTTAAATTTAGTTAAAGAAATACTATATTCAATTGGAAATTATTATTGGAAACCCATCCATATTTAGGAATCCCTACCAAGTGATCAAGAGATGACATTATACTGAACAGCTGATCTCTAGTATTTAGAGATGAGATATGACAAGATGAATTGGAACTAAGCCCCTGTTTTTAAGCACTAGACACAGACACATTTTTCTTTTGAATCAAATGTCCCAAAGCTTGACTGAATATAAATATCATGCTCACATATGGCCTTTATTGTTCATAGTGTTCAATGGTTACCCATGGTACAGCATGCATTTATGGATTCATTTTCAACATAAATCCCTTCCCACAGCTCTCTTCACATCAAATAAAAATGATATGGCTGGTTCCTGGTCCACAGAATGCAGATGGTGTCCACAAGTTCCAACACTAGCTGTGCACAACAATAATGTAACAATGCATTGACAATAATAGTAAATTTTGTGTTTGATTATAATTAACATTGAAGTACATTTTAAATTTCTCATGAAATTCAGATGCTTATTTAAATAATCAGATAAAACCTCATATTGAGTTGGGTAAATTCTATTGTCTGAAAGCTCTTCAACAGCTGTAAATGTTGCAAAGCACATAAAATTACACAAATAGTTTTGGTATTCAATCCCTTCTGGAACCAATTTGGATTGTAATAAAATTCGCATATATGCAACTCTGATATACATTTCTGATACACAACTCTGCTACACATGAAGTTAGTGCAGTTGATGTGGTTTATATGGATTTTCAAAAGGTATTTCATAAAGTGCTACATAAGAGTCTTGCAAGCAAAATTCAAGTCCACGGTATTAAAAGGACAATAGCAGCATCGATACAGAACTGGATGGGAGACAGAAAGCACAGAGTAGTGGTGAACAGTTGTTTTTCTGACTGGAGGAAAGTGTGCAGTGGTGTCCCTCAGGGGTCAGTATTGGGACCACTGCTCTTTTTGATCCATATAAATGACCTGGACTTGGGTATAGGGAGTACAATTTCCAAGTTTGCAGATGATACTAAGCTAGGAAAAGTAGTAACCAGTGAGGAGGACAGTAACAGACAGCAAATGGAAATAGGCAGACTGGTAAAATGGACAGACACGTGGCAGATGAAGTTTAATGTGGAAAAATGTGGGAGGAAGAATGAGGAGAGGCAATATAAGCTGATGGTACAATCTTAAAGGGGGAGAAGGAACAGAGAGACCTGTGGGTTCAGATAAGTAAGTAATAAGTGCGTAATAAGTACTGTGTTCAGTTCTGGGCACCACACTTTAGGAAGGATGTCAAGGCATTGGAGAGGGTGCAAAGGAGATTTACCAGGATGGTACCAGGAATGAGGGACTTCAGTTATCAGGAGAGGCTAGAGAAACTAGGATTATTCTCCTTGGAGCAAAGAAGGTTAAGAGGCACTTTAATAGAAGTTTTCAAAATTATGAGGGGATTCAATATGGTGAACAAGGGGAAACTATTAGAAACTGGTGGGTGGGTCGGTACCTGAGGCACTGATTTAAAATACTTGTTAAAAGAAACAGAGGGGAGGTGAGGAGAAATTGTTTTTTTTACACACACAGCATGTTGTTTGAATCTGGAATACATTGCCTGAAAGGGTGGTGGAAGCTGATTCGATAACAACTTTTAAGAGAGAAGTAGATAATTATTTGGGGAAGACAAATTTGCAGGGCTATAGGGAGAGCGCGGAGGAGTGGGATTGAATTGGATAGCTGTATTCAAAGTGCTGGCACAGACACGATGGGCCGAATAGCCTCTTTCTGTGCTGTATAATTCTATGATTCTAAGCTAATATCAGGCAGTGGTGCCCAGCCTCAATTTTTTTCCAGTTTGGTCATTATATGCAAGTTTGTTATAAGCAACATATGTTGTCTCCATCAATTTATTCTTCTTCAGTAAATCCCCTTATAAATTCACACTGACAAAGACCTAGAAGTTACAGATCAGCAGAGAATAAAATCCTCTTGTCCACAAAGCTCTAGTAAATTTACCGACCTTTAGAAAATGACCCCAAATCTGTTATTTATAATGGTGTTTGATAGGGATTTCATTTTGACTGTAGTTGCTGTAGTATTCTCTCTATTTTCAAGAGGGAGTATTATTTTTAAATAAAGTATATTTTCTAGACCAGAGTCTACAAATTGCATTCAGAAATGCCAAAGTCTTGCTGTCCTTTTTCGCATATACTCAGAGCCCAATTTGGAATTGACATCCACTCACTCACTCAGTTCTGTGTGGTTGAGCGGGTAGGGTTTGGTTGTGGCATATTATGATTATTGGTCAAGGTATCAGTCAGGCGAGACTCAAAAGTTCCTGCTCAGCTTTCTATTTGATAAGCACAGTCATCAGACTGGGCTTGACTCAAAGAAACTGTGTTGAGCGGTGAGTAATGAGGTAGAGGAGAGCTACAGCTCCACAGCTCTAGGATGATAATAATAGGCTAAAGGTCTGAAGGGTGTGAGTGAGCTAGAGTGGGCACAAGGAATATCTGCACTACAAATGAAATACTAAACTGAGATCCCACTTGTCTGTTACAATGTTCAGCTGGATGTTAAAGATCCCATGGAATTATCTCAAAAAGCCACAATCAATTCTCCCAGATCCTGGCCAGTACTCCTCCCTCAGCCTCCCTCAAATCCGGCAAAAAGAAGATAGTTATTTAGTTATTCATCTGATTGACTCTTTTTGTAGGATTTTACTGATGCAGATTATCTGTTATTTTTTAGATAGACAAATGTAACAGATAATCCTTACATTTGATATCGCCCCTTTCATATCAGGAGGATGTCTCAAAGTGCTTCTAATAATTTACTGCAAATTGTATATGACGGTATTTTATAAGCAAACATCACACAGCAATGTCCCCAAATCATGAAGTGAAATACCAATTGTAACCTGAACTACACTGAAAAATAACTCATTGTGTGAACCACTTTGAGAAGTTTTGATAAAATAACTTGCCTTATGTAATCAGGTATTAGTGCATTTTAATGATTAGGATGATGATAACAGAAACTGCAGGTATTAACTGGCAAAGGGAGTGAAGGGATTGAGTATGTGTGAGGGGGAAAAGTCCAGGTCACAGTGGGTAAAAGAATGGGGGCTGGGGGGAGGTAAAAATAAGGGGGTTAATACGATGAAACGATGAGATTGGGAAATTAACAAATAAAAGTAGTTGATGAAAAGGAGAAAAAATAGACATTTGTTAAATTAAAGAATCATGAGTAAGGCCTGAAAAAGTGGGAGATATGGAAATATTCACCAAAAGTACTCATAATTAGTCCACACACAAATCTGATCTGCGATGTTTAGGTGTATATGAAGACTGTTTTGCAGAATTGGTTTTACTACACGGTATTAAACCGTGCTGTTGTAAACTGGCCCTCTGAATTCCGAATCTGTATTCCAATTCTGAGGTATTGTATAACAGAGAACTTCAATGCCAGCTGGTATAGAAACTGGAAATATCATATTGCTGCTATAGTAGTGAATAACATTAAGGCATTAGGGGGTTATGCTCTGTGGTCAACTTGTGCCTTACTTGTACTTAGCTTAAGCAGAAAAATCACACACACACAAAAATTAGTTCCTCCCAAGGTAGCTTTAATTTTAATTCAAACAGAATCCGTAAAATAATCGATCAGATTTGGTTATGCCAAAAGCTAGCAAAATATACTGCTTTAAGAGAAGATATAATTTGGGGCCTATGAAACTCTTCTTGCATAAAAACAATATTGTACCCCAAACAATGTACAATTGATTTGAGGATGTTTGTTCAACAACTCCTAAACAGCTGCAAGAGTCCACACAAAAGAGAATGCACTCACCCATGGAGCAGATGGCATGATCAATGTGAGGGTCAACAGATCCGTACAGCATTCTTCCAGTGATTGGTTACATCTGCCCGCGTGATTCAGCAGCCTAGCATAGATGACATTTGGGAGGATGTGACGGGCATACTCATGGGACTCTTGACCTGGTGCAAGAATGAGACTCAGCGTATGTTTGATGGCATTTAAGTGTCTGTATAACCTGCTGAGTTTTGATTCCAGGGCACTCTGAAATAAAAAAACAGTAAAGCTATTTGAAACATAAATAAATTTGAAGGGCTGGGGCTGGTCTGGAGCCAAAACTCAATCCCAGATTGTCTCAAACCAGGTGCCTGCAAAGGCCAAGTCCTTTGGCTCCAGCTGAAATTTCTTATTGACAATATAGCTGAGTTGCTGTTATTTGATGAGTAACAAAATGGATCACCGCCTCAGCAACCACTCGACAAGTTTTCATGAGCCAACTATGAATAGACATGTGTACCCTTAATGATTAATTAATACAGACATGAAAATATTTTCTTTTTAAAACATGAATTCCAATTATAAGCACACATCGCAAGTGGTCACTAAATTTATAGATAAGCATAGAATAAACATAGAATAATATGCGCTCACTGTGAAAGGTCAGTATATTTACCATCAATGGGAGAATAACCCTAATATTTAATTGGTGACCCATTTTGCAGCTTAAAAGTTCATGCACTTAACATTTCAGGAGGTTATTTCATGATTATCAGCAACTCTGTCTGTCAGTTTATGATAATGTAGTTTGAAGATGAATACGGATGACTTTTCCTACTGTTTTTTGATCCTTTCAGCAGCTGCTCCCTCACATACTCCAGAGTCTTGCTGTTTGTTGTTTCTCTTGTATTTGTATTACTAATTAGGTACTATTAATCAATACAAGGGGCATCTTTGTGCTATCCATAAAGGTTGCTAGATTTGCGATTTTAAATTAACTTTGATAAGCATCTTACCCACAACCTTCGATAAGAGTCTTACCCACAACTGTAATCTATCTTGTTCATAGCTAATACTTTCCTACTCACTATTTCTAATGTCATTTTAAGACACCAAGAGCTGCAGGTTTTGAATTAGACTCTTGTTTTAAGCTCTTGAAGGCAGGCTTATTTCGAAAAGGTTGATTTAGGACACATCTGTGCTTCAGGAAATTAAGCCATCTGAAATTAACCATCCACTACCAGATTCAGGATGAATTATATTTACAGATATGAAGGAATGCAAACCAAAAAAAAGGATAAAAGCCCATGGACCACTGTATTTTGTTTAACTTTGCAGCAGTGAGAGAGGAAAGCGCAGAAATTTTAGACTCATGTGCTCTTCATTACTGAAGACTTGTGAACAATTTGTAACTAGGGGCCATCTCTCACTGACCTCCGTGGTTGGGTATTTGATCTTTATCACTCAGTCTGGAATGAGTTTAGCTGTGTAATTATCACACATGGCACTAATGTCTGTTTAACCTTTTTACTTAAAAACACTAAATTCTAAAAAGTAAACCCCACATTACTGTCAGAGCATTGGTGGTGTGGCATTTTCTTTTTTTTAGTAGCTTTAATGTGGTTTTCAACAAATATTTGGCTTTGCAGAGGCCTCCTGCCCTATCTTGTGACTGGTGCGTGAGCCCAACGGAGGTTGTGCACTCATACACAGAGGCTTGTGGTCTATTGGAGGGCCTCCCGTCCTGTATCCCCCCTAACCTGTGATAGGATAAGGCACAAAGCCACAGTGCAGCCCTCCAGTAGATCAGAAGCCTCAGTGGTGCATCTAAGCATGTGCACCCAACTTCTGCTGAGTGTCTGCACTTGTGGTCCGGGAGGACCTATACCTAACTAGCCACTCTGGATACCTTGTTGCTGAGAGCTTTTCCCTTGGAGTGATGAGTCATTAGGAATTTGTTATAACTTTAGAAATAACTTTTTTTTGAAAAGCTTACAATCGGGTGATTGGCCTTCTGTTTCAGGCCTCCATTTTTATGTGTTTCTAAGGCCTGGGTGTAGAGATCTTATATCCTATAACCAAACTTTCACCTCTCAGTACTTTCAGCAAGAGTCAGCAATGGAATACTAGATCATGTTTTTATACCAAAGCCTCAGAAATGCAAAGACTGCAGCCCTACTCAGCAGATTGGCTATCTTGTAATAAAGCAATTTTAATAAATACATTTTTGCAAATAAGTATTTTCTTTTAAAGCCTATTCATGAGATGAACATTCAAGGCTAAGACCATTGGTGGGCCTTATTATGGCCTTATTCATGGCTTTTATATCTTTGTACTATATGTAAAACATTGTGCAAAAGGTTAGAATATAGGATGCTTTACCAAATGGTCACTGAAGCTGAATCCTTAACAACATTTAAAAGGTATTAGAATAGTGTACACAAAACAAGCAGAAGATTAGGAGAAAAGCAGATAGTTTCAGTGGAGGAGCATAGATCATAAGGAAAAAAGCAGGAGAATAGGATTAGAGCAGATATCTCCAGTGGGGGAAAGTGGCAGAAACGCAACAACAACTTGCATTTAACATAGCATCCTTCATGCAGGGTAGCATCTCAGAGTGCTTAACAATGATGCAATTTGAAAACAGGTCAAATAGTCTCTTTCTAGGAACAGTAAGTCATTAAGCTTGTTGAGTCTATTCCACCATTTTCTTGGATCAAATGTTTGTCCCATTTTCTCACCTTTTCTTATTATATCTTAATACCCTTCAGTGCTGTAAACATTCTAATAGCCTTCATGACATAATCATTTGTATTCAATGATAGGTTTAAACAATCATAGAGAAAATGTATTCATTTGAAAATTCTTAATTGCATTTATACAGCACCCTTTACATATAGCACACTAAAGAATTCAGTCAAGTTCACATCATGTTGTCTATTGTTATAACCTGCATAATGTTATACTGGCGGCTAATCTGGGCCTTGCTTGGTATGTTTTGTACACATTTGAGTATTGTTATAGCCGTATAATGTTATACAATACAAAAATACATTTGTAAAGTGCCTTTCACGTCAGGAGGACATCCCAAGGCACTGAACAGTAGGGATTAGGACCCGAGCAGCTGTGGGGGGAAATCAGGGAGGGTGGAGAGCAGAGAGGGTAGGAGGGTGGCCAAAGGCACAGTCGAAGAGGAAGGCCTTGAGGCGTGCCTTGAAGGAGGTAAGGAATAGAGTGAGGGGAAGCCGATGGTAGGGGGACCCGGGCGGGGGACAAGGAGTAGGCCGGACACTGCTGAGCAGAGGGAGCGGACAGGTTGATAAGGGGTTAGCAGGTCAGAGAGGTAGGAGGGGGCAAAGCCATGGAGGGCCTTGAAGGTGAGGATGAGAATTTTGAACTCTACCCTCTGAGGGATGGGGAGTAGTGGAGCCGGGCAAAGGTGGGGGTGATGGGGTCATGGAGCCTGGTGCAGGAAAGGACATGAGCTGCAGTGTTCTGGATGATCTGCAATTTGTGGAGGGAAAAGTTGGGAAGGCCGATGAGATGTTGGTGTAGTTGAGCCTAGTTGTAATGAAGGCATGTATGAGGGTTTCAGCGGCCTGAGCGGTGAGGCAGTGGCGGAGTTGGGCAATGTTGCGGAGGTGGGGGAAGGCAGAGCGGGTCATGGCACGGATGTGTGGGAGGAAGGACAGTTGAGGGTCGAACAAGACACCTGGGTTCCTGACTGGATTTTGAGGTGGAGTGTGCATCCGTGGATGCTGATGCTGGCTGAAGCATAATTAATCTTCTATGCAATTTGTGGTCCTGATTAACAAAAGATCAAATAACATTATACCCAGCAATGTAGTGGAGCGGTCCGGAGTACCTAAAATCTGGAACACAGCGAAAGGTGGATGGTCCAATGAAAGCATGGAATGGGTTGAGGGACAGTCGGATGGTTCAATGAGAGCACAGGGCAGGTTGATGGAAGGCAGATAGTTCAATGAGAAGTGACTCTTAGTAGCAAATTTTAGCAAATGCATTGGCTGTTATTTTTGTGGAATCAATTTTGAAGATAAAACCGCCAAAATAACTGATTTTATTCAAAAATGATTACACTAAAGTGAAAGTAATTTTGTTTTACATTTTTTTTCATCCAGAAATTTTAATTGACTTTCAGAACAGTATGGAAGTGTTTATAGGGAAAGTTATAGTAAGCAAAAGATTACAATTTTGTCCGATGGGGGATAAATTAATCAGACTCGAGTGTATTAATGCTTACCATATATAATGAAACCAGGCAGTGGGAGATACTGACAGAATTATAAGTTGTATCTTTTAAAATATTGAAGAAACCTTCAAGAATTCTTCATCAGAATGATACATCAATAGCAAATCTTTTTATCTTCTTTTACTCTGATACATAATTTTTTTTTCTTTGTAAGTCCAAAAACAGGAGGTGGTCAGCTAAGTCAAGTCTGCTTTGATTAATGATAAAGGAGAGAGTTTTCAAGTGCACTATGACTTTGCATCAATCACTGTTGGCTCTGCTCCCTTTCTCCTTTCCTTTGGAGGAACTAACTCCTGTCATTTGTTGCATGTGTCAGACAGGGATGCAGGAATTTAACGAACTCAACATCTGTTCTTAGGGCTTGGAGAATGTTTCAGGTTATAAAGTGGGCATCATTCCCAGTTAAACGGATCATTGAAGTATGCTGCTGTACAGCATATTCGTTTTGGTGCACAATACACACATAACAGCAACCATATATACTTGCTGAAGATGGATCCCTATAATTACACAATTTTATAAATGTATAAATAACACAAAAAAATCACGGTAATTGCCAATAACATTGTTACCATAATTAAACGGTGTACTGTGACAGCAATGCAATCTTGGCACTTGGCAAAGCTTGCTTACTCACCTTCTCACTGATTTAATATTTACATTCATGGCAGGTCGAGTGTTTCAGTGTTTACAGCACTTATATCCTTTTTGTTACTTCTCGTTTGGGACCTCAGATGTTTCATAATGGTCCTTATCTCAAAGACTTTCAGTCATGACAGGTTTTCATTTCTAAAAAAAAATGCTAATTACCTTCAGCATGGTCTAAACTCATTCTTTGAATGTGGTTCAGCCTTCAGTTATAAATGAAAAGGCCATTATCCTAACAGAAGAACTCCATTCTTTTTGCTGGGTTCTTACTGTCAGGAGCAAAATAGTTTTGTTCCTGGCAGTGCAGGGTTGTGGAGTGGGAAGCTCAAAAGCTCTATATCGCACATAA